GGACCTCACTTGCTCTGAGGCATGCTGTCCAAGGTCAAGGCAGGGTCTACCCAGGTCAAGGCCCAGGCCACCCTGCCAGGTCAGTAAGGCTCCACATGCCTTGGGGGCCCCTGAACAGCACCCCCTCCTCCCTACTCCTCTCACATCAGTGCAAGCTCAGCCCTCCTAAGACCTGCTCCTTCCTGGGCCCTCCCCACCCCGCCACCAACTCCAGGGCACACAAAACCCTCCTGGGTTCCTCATCTCCCTCACCTCCCTCTACCCCCATCCAGCCGCCCCACAACCCCTCAGCACCGTCCCCACCAAGCAGCCAGAGCGTGCTCCGCAAAAATGACTCAGTGCATACTGCCCTGCTTCAACCTCCCAGCACCACCAACTAAACTCAGAACAAAACCGAGGCACAGAGGCAGAGCCATGGTCTCCGGCCCCAAGTGGCGGGCCCTGCCTATCAGCTCCTGCCCCACACACTGACTGAGCGCCCTTGCTCAGAGGAATCACACTCATTTTGGCCGCAGGGCCCCTTTGCATGCTCCCTCTGCCTGAAAGCTCCACCCTCAGCTGCTGTTTCTCACTCGAGTCACCTCCTCTCCTGACTCCTACAGCAGGCCCCTGTCACTCATACTGCCACACGTTTCACTTCCCCCTGCACACTCACCACTCTCCAGCATGGTTTTTCTCAGGAGTCAGCAAACATTTTCCGTAAAGGATCAGACTGAATATTTTCCACACTGCAGGCTATACGGTCTCTGTCTTGAAACGCACTTTTGCCATTGTAGCGTGAAAGCCGAATAGACAACATGTGAGCGAATGGGCGTGTCTGTGTTCCAATGAAACCAGCTGCGGACTTGTCCGGGGGGCCACAGAGTGTGGTCCCTGGTCTTATCTGAGAGGCCACCAATCTGAGAGGCCAGAGGGCAACGAAGGAATCCCCCTGGTCACTGATATGACTGACCGAGGCACCTAGAACCCCACATGGCCCACAGTAGGTGCTTGATAAATATTCAATAAGCATTGTTCAAGGACCCAGAGGCAACTGCACGTCCTCACATGCTCTGAGTCCCACAGCCAACTCCAGCTTGTGCCAGGCTCTGCAGGAAGCAGTTTATGACGTGCAGTTCGTTCCCTCTGACTCACGTGTGGTCCCGAGGAGGGAAAATCGCAGTGCTCACAGGGAGCCGACTACATGCCAGGCACCCTTCTCAGACCTCTGTACGCCAATTCACTTGGTCGAGACCTATGAGCAAAGCAGTCATCACGCCCATTTCACAGACAGAGACACTGAGGCGGAGTGTCCCCAACTGGTAAAGGTGGTCCAACTCCCAAGGCCTCTCCACGGAGCAGATCGAGGCTGCCAGTCCAAGTCACTTCTGTTGCATTCCTAGAAAGTGGCCAGGGCGGAATTCAAACTGAGAGCTTTCTGTCTCCTAAGAACACAGCTCACTCAACGAGGGATGTTGCAATCCCTGATTACCATAAGGTCACAACTTCAGAGGAGGCCTCCAAAGATGACACCCGCCCCACCCCAGGCACACTGACCCCCCACTGTTCTTCGAGCACACCAGGCCTTTGCTTGAACTGTGCTGTCTTCCTACCCTCTCCCAGGCCTCCCTCAAATATCAAGGGAAGCCTCACTGAGGAGGAGGTATTTCAGCAAAAACTTGAAAGAGCCAAGGAAGCAAATGACAGATAAGGAGGATGAGTTTTCTAGGCAAAGGGCATAGCCTTTGAAAAGGCCGTGGGGCAGCACTATGCCTGGTGCCTTAGAGAAACAGCGAGCCCTATGTGGCTGCAGCAGAGTGAGCACAGGTGAGAGAGGGAGAGGAGGCCGGGGAGGGGACAGGGGCATGCTGTACAGAACCTTGTGAACCATGGGCAGGACTTCTACCTGGAGGAAGCTTAGGAGTCCTGGAGGGTTGTGGGCAGACAAGGAACGGGACCTGACTCCGTTTTTAATGGGAGCCTTCTGGAGTGGGCTGTAGGGAGCATATGAAGGGACGGAGGACTAGGCCAGCGATGGATGGGGGCTGGACCAGGTGGAGGCAGAGGAGGGGAAGTGGGTAGATGCTGGGTCCATTTTGAAGGCTGAGCTGACATAATTTGCTAACAGATTAGATGTGGGAGGAGTTGGGAGGTCTGGGAAGAAGTCGACTGTTCTGAGATATCATGGGAACGGGAAGGACAGGAGGGAAATGGCTCCGAAACAGCAGACCACAGCTCAGCCCCAAAGCCCACAGGCTGCTCATAGGCCCCACAGTGGGCTGTGAATGTGTCCAAGCCCCAGGAACCAGGTGCCCCACACAACTCCTAAAACCCAGTGGAGAGCCCCATCAGGCCTTCTCTGGACCAGGACTTGGGAGCCCAGGCGTTTAAAGTAACCAGATTCTAAATACCAAGATACGTTTCACCTCCCATCAGATTGGCCAAAATGACAGAGGCTGATAACATCCGAAGCTGGCAGCACTGTGGGGAGACAGGCTCTCTTGGCCCCGCCACACCTTCCTGGAAAGCCATCGCGTATCTGATAGTCATTTTTCAATTGCTAGCCCCTGCCCAGCCATTCCAAGGTGGGACTCCACCTTCTAGGAACTGAAGCACCCGCGTTCAAAGGCAAGACATTTACTGCTTGTAACAGCAAAAGGCAACTCCAGAAATAATCTGAATGTCCCTCAGCAGGAGGCTGGTGAATCAGCAGTGGCTGGTGCCTACAGCAGCTGTTGCTAACATTCATCAAGCACCCTCATCCCATTTTATAGAGGGGGACACTGAGGGCTCAGAGAGATCAAAGCATTTGCTCTTCAGTGGAACCCAGGCAGCTAACTCAGGGATTCCCACCCTCTTAACCACGGCACATTATTCTTCCTCTCTGGAAAAAATAATTGATACCAACATGGGGGGAAAAATCCAAACTATTACGGACAAAAAGCAAGCAACTTACAGAGTAATAGGTATAGTACAGCGGCTCCAGGGGACACTGGGCCATGTCTGGGACATCTGTAATTGTCACAACTGGGGGGATGAGCTCCTGGCATCAGGTGTGTGGGGGCCAGGGATGCTGCTCAACACCCTCCAGTGCCCAGGACAGCCGCCCCAAAACAATAAATTTTCTGGCCCCAAAAGTCAATAGTGCCAAGGAAAGAGACCCCGGTGTAGCATGAACCATCCTGGTGAAGAATGTGCAGACCTGTCTATGTGTTTATATAACTGTACAGCAATAGGAAAAGGGAGGACAGCTCTTACCCAAACTTCACAGAACTTAGGTCATGAAAAGTGGGTTTGGAGGGGAGAGGCAGTCCTTTAAAGAGAGTAAAATCAAGATTAGCTGGGAGAGGCAGATATCTGTGGATTTCGGTGACAGGCAGGGAGGGCCAGCCCATATCTTCCTGGCCCCATGCTCAGACCCAGCCACAGCCCATAGCTGGGATTGGATCTGTCCCTAATCAGCTGACCTAACCCCTGATAAGACAAATGTCTGCTCCGTAGCTTTCCAGTGCTCTGGGGCTATTTTGTCTCTGACCAGCCAGGCCAGGGGGCTGACAGCAGAGGTCAGGGTGCTGAGAAAGGACCTCGCTGGGGCCCTCCACCTAGCCAGGCAAGGACACTGGCTGAACGAAGGCGGGGCGACCGGATGGTCGGAAGGAAACAGGTCATCCACCAGGCAGTTCCAGATGGCAGTGGCAAAGGAAGCAGTGGGAGTCTTCCAGAGCCCAGGATGCTCACTCTGGCTCTCTCTTCAGACACTTCTCCCAGCTCCCAGGCAGTGCAGCATCTCCCTGCCTGCCAAGAAAGCTTTTGGAGGCCCAGGGGAGGAGGAGGATGGATGCCCATGGGGGTGTCTAGAGGGCTCCACCCATAAAGGCTACAAGGGAGGAGCAAAGCGTTCTTTGGATCAGGAAACTTCCTATTTGGGAGCTTATGACCTCAACTGAGAAGGAACCGCAGTGGCTCGGCTCTGTACTCCGCCCCAGGTAAAGGGGGCCTGTAGCTGGTGGGGCGACCTGGCTCCCCACACCTGCTCTGCGGGAGGGTAAGAAAGGCAGGCCAAGGAGAGGGGCAACCAGGAGGCAGTGGTCCTCCAATGGCGACAGCAGACCCCCAGTGTCCAGGGAAAAGGCTTAGAGGGGCCTACCCTTCCGCGTCTACTTCAAGAGCCCCAGCTCTGAAAATGCCTGGAGATGTCAAGCCCTGAGCCCCCTCCTGTGAGAGGGAGGTAAACTGAGGCCCAGCAAGGGAAGAAATGGCCACTTTCACAAAAAGAGAAGAGATGGTGGGGAGGCAGACCCAGAAGGCCAGAGACCTCCCTCCTCCACCCCAGCTGCCCCAGGCCTTTCCGACCAGTAAGATCTGCCCATAGGCTGACCGCCTGCGAGGGGAAGCGGCGAGGTCAGGAAGCTGACACCGGCAAGGCGTGCAGCCCCGAAGGTGGGTCCAGGCAGGAGGGCACATCTGGCACAGTGTCACCCCATGTCCTGCCCCACCTTGGAGACAGGGCCCCCTCCCCGGAAAGGGGGGTGCTTCATCACTCCACACACGCAGAGCAGCCCCCTCCCAACAAGACAGGAAGGCGGCCGTCCCCGAGCGCCCTCGGCAGGAGGCGGAACACTCACCCGCCGCGCGCCCCAAGGGGGGGTTTCACCGCCCCAGAGACGAGGACCGGTCTCCCGCACGCTTCCAAGCAGGATGCTCCACCCATGGCCTCTCAGAATGGGGCCCCGCACCCAATGCCGCCCCCAGTCCGCGTCCCCCCCCAGGGATCCCGGGAATAGGCGACGCCACTCCGAGCCCCCAGGCGGGGGTCCCACCTCCCTCGGGCCCAGGGCAAGTCCCCCGGCCCAGTCGGGGGGCGTTCCATGCCCCCCCGCACCCCGGAGTGGAACGTTCCGGTCTCCCTGCCGCGGGTCTCGGCGCCCCTCCGGCACTCGGACGGGTCCACTGGGCCCCGGCGGGGGCGGCAGGCGGGTCCACTCGGGTGCATATCGGGACGCGAGGTCCGGAACCGTTACCTGCCACCGCGCCGCTCTCCGCGGACCAGGTCGCCTCCGAGGTCACGGTCCCCCCCTCGGCGCTCTCCGCCTCCTCCGGCACTTCCAGCTCCATGGCCGCGCGCGCGCGCGCGCGGACCCGCTAGCGAGCGGGCGGCCGGAGGGTAGGACTCGAGGTGCGGCCGCCGCCGCGGAACAACAACCGCCGCCGACCGGAGGATCGAGGGAGGGAGCCGAGCCCAGGGAGCAGGAGGAGGGCCGGGGACGCGGCCAGGCGCTACGCCAGCGCGCACGGCGCGCACCGCCAATCGGAGCTCGGGGGCGGGGCCTGAGTGCGTCCCAAACCCCGGAGCGCCTCGAGCGCCCCCACGCGCCCAGGGTGTGGAAGGGCAGCGCATTCCAGTCACTTCACATTGTAATGGTAGTAATATATATGGAAAGAAATAATACTTACAACTAATAAATTATTTATTACCATACTATAAATAACACAATATTGTGTTAAATATTTTAATATAAATAGTAATTATGATAACGTTTAATTTTCATTATGCACGATGTAAAATTATATGGATTATGATATTACTAAATAAAATTAACATATTATATAAGTAGTATTAATGTCTAATGTAGAAATGTTACATATAACATTATTTATAATATAATGATAAATATACATAATAATATTACTAAATGCTAGTCTCAGTGCCAAAGCCTTTGACATGCAAAATCTCCATAAGTTAGGGACTTGTTTTTCACTATTAGTATATTCCCAATATCTAACCTTATACCTAGAAAACAATAATTATTGTATAATACTGATCAAGCCGATAAAATCTATTGTCATTCCCATTTTGCACATGAGAATTACACAAAGAACCATGCTGTCAATCAGTGTATTTATGTATGAAGAATAATTGTATCACTGTTGTTATTAAAGTCTAATGGTGAATTTATTTGTGATATGACTAGACGGTTGTTAATTGTGAGGTCATGATTTGAGGAGTAATAAATGCTGCTGTCAATAGTTTTCTTCATAACTAATGATTTCTGCTGTGGGGAGTGGCTGGGGTGTAGGTGGGGGACCCAGACGTCCTGCTAGTGAAGGACGGGAGCTGGGATGTTTCACTCGGGCCTGCCTGACTCCAGAGACATAGTCCCTCATCACTGTCTGGGGTGCTGGGGAGACATCACCCTGGAGTTTGGTAGAGATGCAGAATCTTGTACCCCACCCACCTCAGACCTCCTGCATCAGAAACTCCTGGAGTGGGACTCCACCTAGGTTTCAATGAGTCCCATAAGGCAATGTGCATGCCTGAGAGTTTGAGAAGCACTTGTTCACACAACTGGGGAAGGGCTGGGGGTTGGATTAGTGATAAGGATCATGAAAATGAAATTTAAATTTTTTTTTCAGGTTTGATTCTGAACCTCTCCTGGTGGGAAGTCAATACTAAAACTGAAAAATCAAGAAGTGGCAAAACAGGCATTATTTAGAGATGAAGAAATGAATGTCAGCATAATTTAACTTAAACTAAGAGGACAGCCCCTCTGGGAAGGGAGAAATTGTGGGATGACGATGCCACTGCTAATTTTAACAAACCTGAAATAGAATTCGACTCTTTAAAGCACACGTGTGTATAAACTTTAGTTTTTAAAAAATGAATATGTAAAGAGAAAAAACCAAGCTGGTGCAAGGGTGGGGGACGGGGTGGGAGGGAACAGCAGAGGAGGCAGGGAATGGAGAGGAGGGAGGGGCCGGGGTCTGGGTGGGGCAGCGGCTTCTGGTCCTCCTGATTCATCCTCCCACGTCCCTGCTCCCTTATTATACCCTTATTATTTTTTTATTATTTATTGGTTTTTAGAGAGAGGAAGAGAGAGACGTTGACTTGTTCCACCTATTTATGCTTTCACTGGTTGCTTCTTGCATATGCCCTCACCAGAGATCAAACCCCCGACTTTGGCGAATGGGGAGGACGCTCCAAGCAACTGAACTACCCAGCCACTTTTCCGGTTTTACAAGATGGAAAACTGAGGCTGCCGGCTGGGGCCAATTGCCTGGTTTCTGGCGCCCCCTCGTGGTCATATATGCTATTAGCATCAACGCTAGGTACCAGCTAGGAGGGGCCCTTGTGTCTCCCCTCCCCCTCCCCATATTCCATTCATTCGTTCGTTCGTTCATGCATGCATGCATTCATTCATGCCACAAACACTTATTGAGCACCGCCTGTGTACCAGGCACTGTTCTAGGCCACGGGGATACAGGAATGAGCAAGACAAAATCCCTGACCTCAATAAGGTGACATTCTAGAAGAGATAGATAAACAAGCACAAGACAGAAGATAGTTTCAGCTGCTAATAAACTCTTTGAAAATAACACAGATGTGACTATAGAATGTGATCGAAAAGGACAGGCTCAATATCTATTATGCGTTAAGCACCTATTCCAGCGCGGCCCAAGAACTACAACGCAAGCCAATGTAATGGCCAATTTTTTAGATTTTATTTATTGATTGATTTCAGAGGGACAGAGATAGCCATTTGTTGTTCCATCTGCTTATGCAGTCATTGGTTGATTCTTGTATGTGCCCCGATCAGGGATTGAACCTCCAACCTTGGTATATTGGGAGGACGCTCTAACCAACAGAGCCAAGACAATACAAGCCAATTTAAATGTAAAATCTTAACCGTTAGCCCTAGCTGGTTTGGCTCAGTGGTTGGAGAGCTGGCCCTCGGACTTAAGGATCATGGGTTCGATTCAGGTCAAGGGCACCTACCTTGGTTGCAGGCTCGATCCCTGGCCCAGTTGAGGTGCGTGCAGGAGGCAACCGCTCAATGTGTCTCTCACACAGTGATGTTTCTCTCTGTGTGTCTCGCCCCCTCCCTTCCACTCTCTCTGAAAATCAATGGGGGAAACAATATCCTTGCCCTAGACAGTTTAGCTCAGTGGATAGAGCATCAGCCTGTGGACTGAAGGGTCCCAGGTTCGATTCTGGCCAAGGGCACATGCCGGGATTGCAGGCTCAATCCCCAGGAGGGGGCAGCTGATCAATGATTCTCTCTCTCATCATGCTTCTGTCTCTCTCCCTCTCTCTTCCTCTCTGAAATAAATAAAGATATATTGAAAAAATATATATCCTTGGGTGAGGATTAACAAAAAAATGAAATCTTAGATGTTATTTAAAATTTTCCACTAACCACAATATAAAAAGCAAAATAGAAAGTGGTAAGATTAGTTTAATCACATGTCTCATTTAACCCAACATATGCAAAATATCATTGCAACATAGAGTGGATATTAAAAATAACAACTCTGTGGTACATTTACACTGTGGAATACTATGCAGCAGTAAAAAAGGAGGATCTCTTACCCTTTGAGACAGCATGGAGGGAGGGACCTGAAGACTATCATTATGCTAAGTGAAATAAACCAGTCAGAGAAAGACGAGTATCACATGACATCATTCATATGTGGAATCTAATGAATAAAATAAACTGAAGAAAAAAATAGATCCAGAGACATAGAACCATGGAACAGACTGTTGAATCTCAGAGGGAAGGTGGGGGTGGGTGTGTGCGCGGAGAAAAAAATCAACCAAAGAACTTGTATGCATATAAGCATACTCCATGGACACAGACAATAGTGTGGTGAAGGCCTGGGGCAGGGGGTGGGGGCCAGCTAGAAGGGGGTCAATGAGGAGAAAAGGGGGACATATGTAATACTTTCAACAATAAAGATTTTTTTAAAGTACCATGTAAAAATATAACGAGCCCAACCAGTGTGGCTCAATGGTTGAGTGTCGACCCACGAATCAAGAAATCACAGGTTCGATTCCCGTTCAGGGCACATGACCAAGTTGCGGGCTCCATTGCCAGTTGGAGGCGTGCAGAGGCAGCCCAACAATGTTTCTCTCTCTCTAACCGTCTCCCTTCCTCTCTAAAATCAATAAAACCGTATTTTTTAAAAATAACAAGCTATTTTACATTCTTTTGGGAGTACCGCGTCTCCCAAATCTGGTGTGTTTTTCATATTTAACCACATCTCATGCATTGGGATCAGTCACCTGTGCGTAGTATCTAGAAGATGTGGACCTACTGTGTGCCCTGTCCTGTTTTAAGCACTTTATGGACACTTATTCATTTACTCACCCTTCGAAACTCCCCTAGAAAGTAGATGCTAGTGTTTCCCCTATTTTTTAGATGAGGTAACTGAGGAGACCCAAAGCTACCCAGCTGGGAAATGACGGAAGCTTCTTGGCACAGGAATCTGGCTGTTCACTTCGTAGCACAGGAGCAGAATTTGCTCTCAGATCGGCAGGGCAGGAAGGAGCCAGCCCTGCCACAATTCCTGAGATGGCACTCGTGGTGGAAGGCACGGCAAATGCAAAGGCTTGGCGGTTCCCGCTGCAAAGAGAGCAGAGGGGAGAGGGAGGGGGCCAGGAGGAGTTTCATTCTTTTATTTCTTAGTTGATTCATTAAACCTTTCCCCAGGACCAGCCTATATGTGCTGGCCCCAGTGCTGCTGTCAGCAAGCGGCCCAGGGGTGAATGGCCCAAGCAGGGCAGGACCCGGTGTCCCTGGCCTCTGGGCGAGCAGGGGTTAAGGCCAGCTGCTCCCACGTGAGAGCACCTTACGACAGAGCCACACACCCAGCCAGCCTCCCTGTCTCGCTCATACTGCCAGTTCGCCTGTGCATGTCGCATGTTGCCCTGCTGGTTCCACCTGGCACGGGACCCGCCAGCCTACAGCTGCCACAAGCGAGGAAAAGTTGAGCAAACAGGTGGGGAGGACAGAGCTCAAACCTCAGGTTCCCTCCCCACCCCCATGCCAGGCGGGCACCCAAGCCCAGGCTCCTGCTGCCTGCCCAGAGGCCTCTCAGCCTCCTAGACAGGTAAGTCCCGCTCTGCCCGTCATCCCGGGGCCATTGCTGGGGCCGGACTCCCCACCACGGGGACCTGGGACCCCCGCTCCCCTTCCCGCAGCTCCCCCGAAAGCAGGAAGCTGACACTCCTGCGTGGGCACTGACATAGTTTCTACAGGATTATCTGGCTGGCAGCTCCTGCCCCTGGCAGTCAGCCCAGGACGCCAGAGCCAGAGACCTAAAAGGGTCATTGTTGGCCCAGGTGGTGCCAGGGGGCCGAGGGGGCACGGGTTGGTCTCTCTGATCCTCCAAACGAAGGACGGGAAGTCGGGCAGGGAGGTGGCAGGCGGGGCAGCCTGGCACCTGGTCAATGTGGGGGCCTCTTCTGAGAATTGCACGGGCCTCCCACCACCGCTGGCACCTGCAGGAGCTGGGGAGACAGGTCCTGGGGTCGCCTTACCTTGCTTCTCCTGAAGGTGAAATGCAGGAGGGGGTGGGGGCAGGCAAATGGTTGTCACAACAGTCCGCAGAGCAGGCTGTGGGCAAGGAGCCAGGATGGTCTTTGGGCGTAGAACCTGGAGAGGAGAGGGGATGGGTGGCAAGACATTTTTCTGGGTCATTTGCTCCCAGACGTGCAGGACAATAGGAGCTTCCTGAGAGCCAGTGTCTGATCGCACCTCAAATCTCTTTGTCCGGGACCAAGTGGGTCCCTTGGGGCTGGGAAGGCATAGGCATCTGAGACGCGGGGCACAGCGTGGGCCTGGCATTTGGGATCACCCCAGGGCAGCATGGTCATGGAGCCCCAGGGAGCGGGGAGGCTTGAGATTTGGGGGGTTGTGGGATTGTGAGGGAGATGTTTCGCTGAGACAGCCTCCAGCCATTTCTCCTATCTGGATCTCAGTTTTCCAGTCTGTAAAGTGGGTATAAGAGCCACCAGATAGCAGGGCTGCTGAGAACACACATCACAGGGTCAGCACTCGATGCTAGTTGTGTGGGGATTGCGGGAAAAGGTGTCTCACTCAAAATCAGACCTCAGGCCAGCCACTTTCCTGTTTTATTCTTTTTTGGGGTACCGCACTTCCAAATCTGGTGTGTTTTTTATACTTAGCCCTGGCTCAGAGAGGGGCAGCCACTTGTCCAGGGCTGCACAGCAAAGTTTGGCTGTCAGGCAGATAGGAGTCAAAATGTAGAGAGCAGGAAGGTCCAGGGGCTGCCCATGCCCCCTGACCGACGTCCCAGGCTCAACATCTTATGAATTTCCGCCTCCCTGGCTCAGTGCTTCCATGAGGCCCTGAGTTCTGGGGAAAGTTCACTTTCTAGTACGGGTTTCTGTTCTTCCTCCTCGTCCTGGTCCGATGCCAGAGGAGCAGTGTTTGCTCAGGGTGGAGTCTGACACTCTTTGGAATGGACTGAGGTTCATTCGTGGGAGATGTGAATGGGAGGAGGAAGTGCCCAGGGACTGGACCGGAATGTATGGAGCACCGACTGTGTGCGGGCGCTGTTCTGGGCTTTGGGGATCCAGGAAAGGTCCCTGATCTTGTGGGCTTGTATTTTGGCGGAGAAAGACAGAGAAGAGACATAATAAGGAAGTAAACTATCCTAAATTGTATCCTGAGTCAGAGAGCGGTCAGTTTCACAGGAAAAAAAGAAGTAAAAGAAGTTCGAGAAATAGGAATGAAATAGACAGGAAGACATTTTATAATCTTAACTAAAGATTAGGGAGGGCCCACTTGATAAGACTTGAAGGAAGTACTTGGGGGCATTGGAAGCAGAGGTGACGTCAGGTGTAAAGGCCCCAGGGCAGGTGGTTGGAGGACAGTGAGCGAGGGGGAGAGTGGGAGGAGGGGAGGGCAGGAAGGGGATGGGGCAGGTCGTGTGGGTCCTTGGGGAGGACTTGGGCTTTTCCTGGAGGGCTGTGGGCAGAGGATGGACCAGACCTGACTCAGGTGCTCACAGGTGCCCTCTGGTGGCTGCAGGGAGAACAGACTGTGACGGGAAAGGGCACAGACTGTGACAGGAAAGGGCAGGAGCGAGGGGGCCAGGGCTGAGTGGACTGGGTTGGTCCAGCTGGGCGAGGCAGAGGAGAGGGGAGAAGTGGGCAGATCCTGGAAAGACTTGGTAGAACTACAGCACAGCATATGCTGATGTTTGAGAAATAGATTGGGGTCCAGGGTGATTTGGAAGAAAGGAGGGAGAATGTTCTGGGGCTTGAAGATTTTAATGGTGAGTGGGACAAGTAACTGGGAGGTAGTTAGAAATATGAGGCGGGAGGCTTGGATGCTGGCGTGAGGCCTTTCGGTGTTATGGTGCTAAAGGATAGTTTTCCCCCAAAAAGGTAAAAACATGACTCTCATACTAATATGAAAACAAACAGGTGGGTTACGAGTTTGTTTAACGCAGTGGTCCTCAAACTACGGCCCGCGGGCCACATGCAAATACAAATATTGTATTTGTTCCCTTTTTGTTTTTTTTACTTCAAAATAAGATATGTGCAGTGTGCATAGGAATTTGTTTATAGTTTTTTTTAAACTATAGTCCGGCCCTCCAACGGTCTGAGGGACAGTGAACTGGCCCCCTGTTTAAAAAGTTTGAGGACCCCTGGTTTAACGCATTAATTAATGTGGGAACCAGGAAGAGTTTACAGCCTGTTCAAGAATGAGTGTAAAGAAAGAACACACACACACACAGGGCATCAAGAATGCTGAAATGAATTTACAAATCAATTCAAAACAGGTCAATAGTCCCAGGGCAATCATCTGTGATCCACAGGACAAAATCCATCTGCACTCCTCTGGACAAGACTCATTTGCAATAGCACCAGTTTCCTGCAATTTATACGCCTGTAAAATAGTTCATAGGTGACGAGAGGCATGGATTACTTGGGAGGGAGGGTATTGCCAGAATCTGGCATTAACCAGATGATCAATAAGTATGCTTTCAATGGATGCTAGGGAGCTATTGAATGTTCTTGAGCTAAAGCCACAGCTCATTCACTGCACATTCATTGGAGGGACTATTTGTTGAATATCTGCTCTCCCCGCTGGTCTGTGAGTTCTACTATTGTAGTATCCCCAGTGCCTAGAACAGTGCCTGGTATGCAGTAGGCACTAACAAACAAACAAACAACTCACCTACTATTCTGAACAGAGTAGGAAGGCCAGTGCTGTGAGAGGACAGATTTCAGGTTGGGCAGGTTCAGCCACAAAGCAGATAAGGACTGTCAACATGGGGGTTACAGGGGACCTTTAATGGGGATGGTCAGAGGGGAGTTGGCCTGGGGTCCTGTTGCGAGGCCAGACTGAAAACAGGGGCTGTAAGAAAGGTGTCAAGGGTCCGGGTCCTCCCCGGCTGCTGCACAGGACAGACCCTTGATACAGACAGATTTGGGGGCCCCCTCCAGTCCTGGGGACACCATAATCCACCTTGTCTTTTCCCACTGGGGCTTGTGTCCCTCCTCCTGGTCTGGAGTGGAGAGGGGAGCACAAGGAGCACACAGGCAAACCTTCCGCGCGCCTGCCACACGCCGGACGCACGAACATTTGAACCTTCCCAAGGATAGGACTCAAAGTCGGAACCAGGTCCCCATCACACAGATGGGGAAACTAAGGCAAGAGTCAGAGGGGTTGGGACTCATGCCAGGCTCAGCGACCCCCTTTCCACAGAGCTTCCTTTTAGAGCTTCGACATCTGAGCCCCCTCCAGCTGCACACCGTACTTTAAGCTCCTAGGAAGGTCTACAAGCCATCCTCACCTTCCCTTTCCTCCTACATCAAAGCGCTGTCACTAAGGGGCACCAGGACCCCACACTGCCATCCCCGGGGACATCATTGCTCAGTCCTCACACGCTCCCCGGGAGTCCGCCACACCCAGAATCTGCCCTTCCTCAAACCCCAGAGCCCCCCCACCCCTTCTCTCCCACACAGCCCAGTCAGGAGGAAAGCATCAGACCAGCCCAGGTGAGAGGCATTCTACCGAGTCCCGGGCCAGTCTGCTCCAGACGGGAAAGGCTGTGGGACGAGGGGAGTGGAGCCCAAGCTGGCTGAACGCACTGGGGATCCGGGGTGGGTCCCGGGGCAGAAACGGGATCTTAGTAGAACCTGTTACAACGTGGAGTTTACTTAATGGTGACTTGGCAATGTTGCTTTCTTAATTTTCACAAATATACCAATGTCATGTACAATGTTAATGTTGGGGGAAACCGGGTGAGGAGCATATGGGGACTCTCCGAATTATATCTACAACTTTTCTGTAAATTTAAAATAGTTCCAAAATAAAATGTTCATAAAAAAAGGGCGGGGGAAGCAACATCTAACAGGGCCTCCAGGTTTGGCCTCCCTAGCCCCCCTCTCCCCACCACAGTCAGCGCTCCCTCCAAGTAGCCACCAAAGGGCGCCTCTGAGCACCTAAGGAAGTCCCACCCTGGCCCCCACAATATGTCTTCCCCGCAGCAGCCACAAGACGGTGCCAGTGAGCACCTGAGGCAGGTCTTTCCAGTGTTCACGGATCTCCAGGGCTTCCATCTCCCTCTCAAAAAACAACAACACAAACCCAAATCTCAGAAGGCCCTGGGTGATCTGTCCCTGTCCCCTCCCTGCCCTGACCTCCTCACTAACCCTCTCCCCTCACTCTGCTCCAGCCATGCAGGCCTCTTCTCTGTTCTTCCAATATGCCAGGCATGGACCTACCCCAGGGCCTTTGCACACACTGTTCACGCCACCTAGAACACCTTCCCCCAGATCTCCCCAGGGCTCCCCCTCACCTCCTTCGGGTCTAACTGTTTCTCTGCCCAGGCGCCTCTCACCTAGGTCACTCTTACTAAACTCAGTTCTCATCTCATCTCGAGTGCTACCTCCTCAGAGAAGCTCGCCCTGAGCCCCCAGTCCAGGTCGTGTCTCCCTGCCAATGCTCTCAGAAGTCTAGGTTGTACTTTTTACTTACTTTTTTTGGTGATTTCATTATGGTCTACTTCCCCCGGGGATCCTGGGCTTTCTTTGGAGCAGGGACTGGGTTAGTGTTGTCAGTCCTGTGTGTACACAGTGGGCACTCAATAAATGCTGATGATTGAGCCATATCCCAGAGCTGCTTCAGGACATTCTTGGGTTCCGGTCTGACCTGTTAGGCCACAGATGACCTCAGCTTCTTGTAGCACACCGGCAAAGCAGCCTCCACCAGGAAGTTTCAAAGCCCAGGAACAAAGCCCCCAGGCTCCTACTCCTCCTGGCAGCTGACACCCTGGGGGACCTCAGCCCAGCCTCTGCCCTCTCTGGGCCTCAGTTTCCCCAAAGATGCTCAGAAGGGGCCAAGCAAGTTCATCTTGCAAGTACTTCCGGGATCTCACCGTCCCCTGCATCCCTCCCTAACCCCTCATGCCACACCTGCTCTGCCCTTTCCTGGTTGAAGTTGGCGCTGCAATTTCAGGGGGGAAGTTGGTCCCCATTACTTCTTGATGCACTTAGTGCATAGCAGGGGCTTGAAACATTTTTGTTGAGTGATTGACTGAATGAATGAAAACATGAATAAAGTGGGTGGATGAAAAGCAGATTTTTAACTCCATAAAGTGATCTGGAGGTCAGGGGTCAAGGGAATGGGGGCTCGAGGCCAGTGCTCTTCTCCAAAACCTGGGACGTAAGCACAGGGTCATCTCATGGGTATACCAAGGAGCCTCTGAGTGCTCTTGAAAAGGGCATAACAACGTGAGATCAGAATGATGGGGGGTGGAGGAAGACCATCTGTCCTGGGGTGAGCGTCCTCTTTCCATGAGGGGTTTAGAGTGGGGTGTCTCTACCCCAGCGCTATTGACATTTGGGGTCAGCTCATTCTCTGTGGGGGCCGTCCTTGTATCTGTGGGGTTGGAGCAGTATCCCTGGCCTCCATCCTTCGGATGCCAGGAACACTTCCAGTCACGACAGCCACAGAATCTGAGACATCACCCAGTATCCGCTGGAGGCAGAATGGCCCCACAGGGCGAAGCCCTGACAGCGAGGATCTGAGGTCAGACAGCCAGGCCCCCCTCTTGTTGGTCAGGCTGTCACTTGACCCGCCTGGCCTCGGTTTTCTCAGCTGTAAAATGCGCACGTGAATGTCACATGTAACATGATATTGGCGTGAAGCAAGCACTCAGTAAAAGTGACCCAGCAGCCTCATTTCCATGGACTCAGTCCATTCATCCTATAGATAATGGCACTGCGATCAGGTGGCAGGGAGTGTAGGGACTCAGCATGTCCCCCAGCTCCAGGATGTCACCTCCAGGCCACTTGTCTGATTGCCAAACGGTGCCCCAGTCAGCAAGTCCTCCTGAGTAACTGCAGCCACAAACCGCCCCCTGCGTGTGTGTGTGTGTGTGTGTGTGTGTGTGCGCTCATGCGCCAGTAGGGAACTTATTTATGTTTTTTTCTATGACCCATTAAAACTAATACACAGCTATTCAAAAAATGTTTGACCTTGTTCTACCTAAAATCAACTTCTGTGCTGGCAGCTGAACGTTACATAGATAAAGACTGTCTGAAGTACCAAGTGGGTCTTCAGCAGAGGTTTATTGCTTTGGTAGCATTTGGGGACCCTTGAGGAGCCGATCATGGCTGACTGGGGTATCCAGACTAGTATTTTGGGGGAAACTGCAGTTGGGAGGAGTGAGAAGACACTTTTGGGGGCCTCAAAGGCTTTGATTATACTGTCTGTCTTTTTCACTTGACAAACTCTTATTCAACATTCAAAACCCCATTGTCCAGCCAGTGTGGTGGTTGAGCCTCGACCTATGAACAAGAGGGTCACGGTTCGACTCCCGGTCAGGGCACATGCCCAGGTTGGGGGCTCGATCCCCAGTAGGGAGCGTGCGGGAGGCAGTCGATCAATGATTCTCTCTCATCATTGATATTTCCAACTCTCTTCCCCTCTCCCTTCCTCTCTGAAATAAAGAAAAATATATTTAAAAAATATTTTTTTATTGATTTTTTACAGAGAGGAAGGGAAAGGGATAGAGAGTTAGAAACATTGATGGGAGAGAAACATCGATCAGCTGCCTCCTGCACACTCCCTACTGGGGATGTGCCCGCAACCAAGGTACATGCCCTTGACTAGAATCAAACCTGGGATCCCCCAGTCCGCAAGCCAACGCTCTATCCATTGAGCCAAACCGGTTAGGGCAGTAAAAATATATTGAAACAAAAACAAACCCAGCTGCAAAGCCCCCTCTTCCAGGAAGCCTTCCCTGATCTCCCAATTTCCTTTCTGCTTCACCCCTTTCCCTAAGTCTAGGGTTTCCCTCTGCACAGTCTTGGCTGGATGAGGCTGGGAAGAGGTGTCTACACCCAGATCTGCCCTTTCAACCTTGGGGTGAGGTGGGGTTCTGAATGAGCTGAGCCTTAGGGAGGGTTTTTGTGTATTTTTTTTTTTTTAAGCAGAAAGGAATGTGGGTGGAGCCACCACCAGCTCCACCCATGCAGGTGGCTTCCTCCCTCTCTCCCCCCGGGGTGTAAGGAAACCGGGTCCCTGAGGGTGAGGCCAGCCCAGGTGAAGAGAAGGAAGTCCGACCTTTACTCTCAGGAGTCAGGAATTTCCTCCCACCCGCCCTCTCCTCCTGGGGGCCGGCCCGGTGCTGGGTGTGAGATCAGAGCCAGGCCCCGGTGCTGATGCCTCTCTGGGCCTCAGTTTCCACCTATGACCTGGGGTTAACCTCCTGGAGATGGGGCGACTCGAGGAAGACCCGCGCCCTATGCTCCCGAGGTCTCTAGCTTCGGATCTATAGGCCTACTAACTGCTGAACCTCAACAGGTGCTTGTTTCACGGATAGAAAACCCCATCAAGTAGCGGCTCTGTTCCGAACGCGGCCAGTGATCCCTGCCGGGTCTTCCTGGCGGCCGTGCCTGGCTGGCCTCCGGCCTGGGCCGGTAGCAGCGCTTAGCTGGATGGAAAACCCGCCCCGGAGCGCCCGCCCAGGGCCTGGACCCGGCGGCGTGCGGCGGGCGGGGGGTGGGGGGTGAGGGTGAAGGCGGTCACCTCGGCATCCCGAAGGCGTGCGCGCGGGGGCGGGGCCCCGGGGAGGCCGAGGAGGAAGGCCGGCAGGTGCCGCCCGAGCGGCGGGGCGGCGGGAGAAGGGCGATCGCTGGGCACCCACTCCGCCGCGAACCCCCACCCCCTCCCTCACCCCCGGGTGGGGACCGATTGACGGCTCCCAGGCTCGCCGGGGGCAGGGGCGCTGGAGAGCCCCGAGTGGACCATGGCGGTGAGATTCCAGGCGAGTAGCCCGCCGAGGGCGGAGGGGGAGGGCATGGAGCCGAGGTGGGGCTGATCGCCGGGACCCCTGGCCACCCTCTGCCTGTGTAACAGGTGGGGAAACGGAGGCCCAGAGGCCGGCAGTGGCCAGCCCGAGGCTGCACAGCGAGACGCGTGGCGCCCCTCGACCCTAAAAGCTGCCTCCATGACCCCGCAGACCTGGGTTCAAATCCCAGCCTTTCTGTGTAACTGGGGCCCTGAGCCAGCGCCTCTCCTACCTCGTCCTTTAAAGGATGGAGAGCGGATTCCGAGAGGAAAGTGTCTTAGCTCCTGGCGGTAGTAGGTGCTCAGTACGTGTTTACAGCGGTTCCCCGGGTGTTGGAGGAAGTGAGTGGTGGGACTGGGCAGTGACCTCATGTGTGGGCTGGGTGGCTTGGTGGATGCGGGGAGGCTGCTGGGAAGGGAACCACCGCATACTGTGTTCCTACTGTATACAGAGCCCTTAACTTGCATGAACCCACAGAGATAAGGGTCAGGGGTCGAGAACCCCCTTTACACTCAAGTCACTGGACTGGACTGGAGGCAGGGGGTCCCTGTGTCTCTATTTGGGGGGACTTCACCTTCCAGGATGGAGCTTGAATTGACTCACGTGCACAGTACTGGGTTTTAGTACACAGGCCTGGAGGGGTAAACTGAGGTCGGAGGGGTAAACTGAGGCCTCAGGAGGTACGTGGCTCACCGAGGCCGCACACTGGTCTGGGCTTTAGGGCACGAGAGAGTTCTGGTCCCCTACACCTTCCAAGCGGCAGGAACGCTCCCAGAATCCCCTCACCAACTGAGTATTTGGCACCCCCACCCCCCATTGTTCCTGGAGGTGGGGGCGGAGACGGGGAGAGACACCTGCAGCCTGGGAGCCACTGGCCTGGGGCTGTTCGACTTGGTAGGACCTGTCCCTCTGGTTGTCTCTCCTCTCTGGTGTTTGCAGTGTTTGTGTCCAGAGCTGCATTTGGGCTGAGGGGGTGGGGGTGGGGGATGGGATGGGAAAAGGTCCAGGCTCACCCCCTCCGGACCTCCCCTTGGTGTGTGTGTGGGGGTGGGGGGTGGGGGGGGCAGGGGCCTGGGGGGCCTAGGGACACTGGACCTATCTGGTTGGGTTTCTGGCTGAATCTGGCCATTATTCCACCTTTCACCCCTTCCTCAAACTCCACGGTGCCTATCCAGTGGGGACAATGCTGGGATCCCGGGGCGCCCAGTCCTGCCCACCAGGAGCCCTCAGACTGGAGCAGTGTAGGGAAGACAGGTGGACGGGACGTCCCAAGTTTCCATCATCAGGGGTGTGTGTGTGTGTGTGGGGGGGGCATTGAGGACTCATTTCCTGGAGGAAGAGACGGTAGCACTGGATAAATAGGAGTTTGCACCCTAGCCAGTTTGGCTCAGTGGATAGAGCATCGGCCTGCAGACTGAAGGGTCCTGGGTTCGATTCCAGTCAAGGGCACATGCCCGGGTTGTGGGCTTGATCACCAATGTGGGATGTGCAGGAGGCAGCCAATCCATGATTCTCTCTCATCATTGATGTTTCTATCTCTCTCTCTCCCTCTTCCTTCCTCTCTGAAATCAATAAAAATATATTATTTTTTTTTTAAATGGGAGTTTGCTAGGAGTGCAGCATGGGAAGGAGGGCCCAGGAGGTGCTGAGTCACCGAGTACCCAGAGAGACACCCAAGAGGAAAGAGCAGGCATTTCCAAACTGATGACCAAACAGGGTAGTTTAAGATGGTTTTGGATGCTGTGAATAAAACGTAACAAATAAAACAGGGAGGAGTGATAGGGTGCCAGGGAAGACGGGCTAACCAAGGG